TGTACGTTTTAAACTTATATAGTGTTTAAATATATACTATGGCCCATAAAGACCATAAATGTTAGATAGGCTGGTGGTTTGTTGGGTTATCACACCATTTCACATCTGAGTTCGAGTCTTGGAAACCCCAATTTTTATATTTTTTCGTTTTTTCTTTAATAAATTACGAAATTACAGTTTTGTCCATGTCTTCCTCCTTCCACCTGCGATACATTAACCATAGATCTCGCCTCCATTCTTTTTTTTTCACCATTTTTGTCAGATCTGTTGGTTTTTTTTTGTGATTTTTAATCTATAGTCCAAACATCGATATGAAGCTTAAAAAAAAAAAAAATGAGTAACTTTTAGATTCACGATTTATTAACCGAATAGTCATAAATCGCGGCGGCTGGAGGCCGCCGAGCGCCTGACCGGCGATTACACGGCCGCGGAGACCGCGTTTTTGAACAGGGGTTTCTCCTGACCATTAAATTCTTCTTATGGACCACAATCACAATAACGAGCATGTACTTTTGTGAGATTTAACTGATGTACAGTACTTTTGTGAGATTTAACTGACGTACATCAATAACAAAGGGAGTACGAGGTTTTGAACTCTTGGTCTATACATCGGAGTTAGAAACCTGTAGGGTCAAAAAGAACTGTAGATGCAAACCGGTTTCAAACTCATTTCATTGTAGGGGTTGTGAGTTTGTTAGACGACAAAATTATTGTAATGAACCGACATTATTATAATGAAAGTTGTTTAACATAATTACGACTCGTGACCTTGTTAGGCAACAAAATTACTGTAATGAACGAAATAATTATAATCATTTTGTTACATAAACTATAAAAGTTCGATTGCTTGTAGAAAATGTCTATTGGATACAAAAAAACTACTGTATTGAGGAATCATAAGGCAAGGAAGAAGCTGAGGTAGAAAAAAGTGTAGTAAAGAGGATTAATTCTTCATTAAACTGAAACCGTGTGCAAGAGTCTGTTTATATATGCCATTAATTAAAAGTTGGAACAACATTTTTCCTTTTTGGTTAAAGTTGAACAACTTTCTTAATAACAACTAACCTAACAAACTGTTAGCTACACTGTTATTAATGTCAACTCTAAATATTTGTTGAAATTTGCAAGCTAACAATTGTTAATTTTGATAAAACCGAAGTAAACCGGATTTAAATTTTGGCACGGTGCAGTTTAATATTGATCAAAATAAGCTGGTACGGTTCAGTTCACGTGTTTACTTCGAACAAAACATAGCTCATGCGCGTGTCAGCAACCAACCTTTGGTCGCTCGAACCTCAACTAATAACCCAGAAACGACGTCGTTTCCTTCGGCCGCGTTTTCAACTAACTTTCAAAGGCATTTTTTTTTAACTCAACTAACGTTCAACATCTCTCTCTTTCCTTTTCTTCGCCTTCTTCACCACTATAGACTAGCTCATCTAAAGTACGGACCTTGATTCATCCAACGTACCCTACATTGACACGTGTCCCTTTTACAGTGTCGGCGAGTCTCAATTCGACACGACGGATACTTCATCAAACTCGCCTTAATCAAAAACCAGACTCGATAAGCCTCGATCTTTCCTCAAATCATAACAAGGGTCTTCCTCAAACCCTTCTCAAAACTTCAGTTTTTGCATGATCCATCTCTCTCTCTCTCTCGGTGAGATTTCTGCTTTTACCTTTTGGTGTTTGTGATTTGGAATAATGATTCAGAGTAATTATTATCAGAAAGTTTCCTTCTTTATGCTCTTAGAGTAATCGAGATCCTGTCTTAGAAAGTAGAAACCAAATCTCAGATTAATAATATCTGTATTATGAATTTGATTGAGGCTATGGGATGCAAGAAATGTTGATTACATATTGTTTATTGGATCTGTGGAACTTTTTTTTAAGGTTGATTCAAGCTTATTGACTGGTGAAATTTTGGTTTTAAGGTTGAGTAATGGAGGTGAAAGAGAGTGAAAGAGCGGTAATATCAAAACCGGTAGCCTCAAGGCCTTCATTCTCTAGCTTCAGGACATTCAATGAGCTTCTGACTGATTCAGTTAACGTATCTCCACAATCGAATTGCCACGAGGTTGTAGACGCTGCTGTAAGACCAAAGACTTTAAGGTTCCAACCGCCCGTTGCAGCTACGGTCTCAAATCCGCGGGTGATTTCATCTGACTAGTTATCTCTTTATTGGCAATGTTATCTTCTTTCTCAATCTTTCGCATCGTGATCTTGACTTTATGATCATCTTAGGGTGAAGGAAATGGCACTGGAAAGTCTTGTGATGATACAGATAGTAGAAACTACGTCGTTTATAAACCAAAAGCAAAGCTTGTCTCCAAAGCAACCGTCTCTGTATTGGCTAATATGGTAAGTTGTTTTCAAGGCTAGAAATTGACGATTTTCGATAGTTGTTTTAACTCTCGCTCTTTTTTTTTAGCTTCAGGGGAGTCGTCAACAGACTTGGAGACAAACCGAAACAGTAGCGTATGGGAAGAGTGTAAGCCAAGCTACGCATAGAGCGGGTCCTAAAGTTCCGTCCTTTACGGAATCAGAGACATCGATTGTGGATAGATCATCCGTGGACGGATACAACTGGAGGAAATACGGACAAAAGCAAGTTAAAGGAAGTGAGTGTCCAAGGAGTTACTACAAATGCACACACCCGAAATGTCCGGTTAAGAAGAAAGTAGAGAGGTCATTGGAAGGTCAGGTTTCAGAGATTGTGTATCAAGGTGAGCATAATCACTCAAAACCGTCTTGTCCTCTTCCGAGGCGCGCTTCGTCATCATCGTCTTCAGGGTTTCAGAAACCACCAAAAGCGATCACTTCTGAAGGGTCAATGGGACAACAAGACCCTAATAATCTCTATCATCATCCTCTTTGGAGCAGTCAAAGCAATGACCTGTCTAGAAACAGAACAGAGAATATGAATGAAGGTTGTGTTATAACTCCATTCGAGTTCGCTGTTCCTAGATCCACGAATTCAACTGGCGGAACATCGGATTCCGGTTGCAGAAGTAGCCAGTGTGATGAAGGAAGCATTGGAGGAGAGCTTGATGATCCAAGCAGAAGCAAAAGAAGGTCAAATTTAAGGCTTTGATTGTTTTCAATTCAAACACCAATTATCTGCATTCAAAGTTAACTTTTTGTATCGATTTTTTTAATAAATTATCAGGAAGAGCGAGAAGCAATCAAGCGAAGCAGGAGTATCTCAAGGTTCGGTAGAATCAGACAGTCTTGAAGATGGATTCAGGTGGAGAAAGTATGGACAAAAAGTGGTTGGAGGAAATACGTATCCTCGAAGTTATTACCGATGCACGAGCGCGAATTGCAGAGCAAGGAAACACGTCGAAAGAGCGAGTGATGATCCAAGGGCTTTCATTACAACCTACGAAGGTAAACACAATCACCATTTGCTCTTCAGGCCTCCAACTTGTTCTACTACTAGTAGTATTCCATTTAATTCCCCACAACATTCTAAGTAAGAATTTTTATCCGGATGTTGCTTCTTCTTCTTTTTTCATAGCACATTTGATTAATCATTTTCTTATTCCCATTGTGAATTTGTTTATTTTAACATCAAGATTGTAAGAACAAGAAGTTCACCAAAAGAAATAAAAAAAAAGAGTGTTATATTTTTTTTCCGGTGGATCCAAGATAGAAAGTGATAAAATTATGTTGAATGTTTTCTTGGTACAATGCAGCCTACAGTTTTCTGTGTGCACCGTTTTGTAGTTGGGTGAATGTAAAATTTGGTAAAGTCCAATGAAGAGATTTTGTGGCTAAGGTATATGCCTCTCTTCTTACCTTATATGCTCACAAACTTGAAATGTTACACGGGACTTGTCCAAACTAGGCCAAGAAACTGGATTGATTTAGCTCATTTGCATCCGATTCAACCACAAACCTCAATATGGCATAGCTCACACCTAACCATCAGACCGGTTCTTTGCATGTGCCATTTTGCACAAGGCCACGATGTCGTACTTGTTGGGATATCAATCCAAATCCCACATCAAAATTTTAGACAAAAATTGTCTAATTATATAAGAGATGTCCAACTCTACTTAGTATGAGGCCTTTTGGGAAGGAACCCAAAAACAAATCCATGCGGACTTTACCTCTGGATCCAAAGCGGACAATATCATACTACTGGGAAGAGTTGGACATGGACTTGAAAAGCCCCACAAATGGTATCAGAGCCTAGGTTCAGAAAAAGAAGACCTAGAGGAGTGGGTGTGGGCTGCAAGTTCGTTGTGGGAGGAAAGCCTCAAGGTGACCTCGCGATTAAAGGGGTGCCGGTGCCTTGTGTCAAAAAGTCTTCCTAACTAAGCGGAAGGTTAGGCGGCGGGTTCCGTTGGTGATTACGGCGGTACAAGATGGGTGTCAAGTTTCGCTGGAGGTGGGAGGACACATGTCAATGTGGTCCTTGGTTTGAGGGGAGGATTGTTGGGATATCAATCCAAGTCCCACATCGGAAGTTTAGACAAAAATTATCTAGTATATAAGAGATGTCCAACTCTACTTAGTANGAGGCCTTTTGGGAANGANNCNAANAACAAATCCNTGCGGNCTTTNCCTCTGGNNCCAAAGCGGACAATATCATACTAATGGGATGAATTGGACATTGGCTTGAAAAACCACAACAGTACTAACCAAAAAAAAATGTTCAATGTTACTTCACACTTATAATGGAGATGGCGAAGACATGATAGCAATTTCGTGGTCTAAACCGAGGCTAACCACACGTATACAAACAAATATTAATGGACCTAAAAATTGTATTTGGTCAAATTAAAATCATAAATCAGAAAAATGAATATATTTTTTTGAAAGCATTTTATTCAGATTGATTATCTGAGCGGTCAGAGCAGTCACGGAATTGATCAGTGGTGTGATTCGATTCTCGGAATGTCGGAAGAACCCAACTCCTCCTTTGTCGATCTAAGGTCATTTGCACAATCCATATTCCGTTCTTCAATTAGATTGTAAGGTCATTGCACGATTTCCTCTCATTCTTTTTCTAATTAGTTACATTTATGTACAAGATTGTGAATCAAAACTTGATTTCAGTTAGAGAACCCCAAATTACTGTGCTTAGTGGATAATGACTGGAAATCCTATATGAGAAATGGTCATTGCATCATTTTATTTCTGTTTTAAACTTTTAATGTTTGTTTGGAGAAAGTTTGAGATACCAACTCACCTTAATTAAATCCCTTTGATTTCTTCCTTGACAGTGAAACTGGATGCGATTATGAACATAAATTCTGAAAACTCCATATTCATTTTGCAGATGAACAACCAGTGTTCTTCTGCTGCCTTTAAACCATGAATTTCGGATTTAAGGCTTCAATGACTCCACCGTTGGAACAATTTTAATCACAAATCAACTAAGGCTTCATGGGCCATACAATCGATAAGATTAAATTGGTTTCAAGTGAATAAGAAAAATCTAAAGTAAAACAGTTTAAAAACTTTATAATTATATTATAATGTAATTGAGATATTAGTGTCAAATGGTGGTCATGGCGTCATTATTGACATTCATTGTAAGCATGAACGGATGGGTTTAATGGCTTGATTTGGCATTAGTGTCAAAATCATTTTTTATTAAAACATATCCTTAATTCATGGTTTGGGAAAAGCCTATAAAAAGACTCTTCTTCGCTTTTCCAAAGAGAATACTTTCTTATACATTCACTCTCCAAAAACTCTAACAATCTATCTTTCTCTTTTTTTCTCTAAAAGTAAGTGTCTTGAAAATATATCGTAGATTTATAGTTCGTAGATTCTATAGTCGAGTGTCGCGACTATAATCTCAAAATATCCGTCACACTACGAGAAATTTTCTAACATGATAACAATTCTCTGAATTTAGTATTTTTCATTACAATATTTTGCCCAAAAATTGAGCAAAAAATAAGCAACAATGAGCAAATTCTAATGTTCAGATTCATGTGGATGGTGATCATATAACACATGTTTTGTGGACTTGGACTTTCCGATGAACTTTTAGTACTCGTATGAAGAACTGGAGAAAAAGAAAAAACGTGAAAGAAGAAAAACAAGAATTATGTTTTTTCCCCAACCGAATATATTCATAATATTATATATTGGTAATTGGTCGTCGTGTCCTCTGTTATGCTACTTTTTTCTATCTTTAATTTAATTAATGAATGTATATATGGTATGCATGATTCTTTAAAATATTTATTCATTATATATGAAATGGTCTTCTATGTATACCCTCCAAGACTATAAACAATTTTGGAATGTGTTTATAGTGAATTTTTCTGATTTCTTGATTATAAAAATAGGGTAATTATTTATTACTCTTGTTTAAGGCAAGTGTATATGACCTTTTATCAAAGACTAATAATAATATTGTCTTTCTTGAAATGGCGTCGTTGACGTATATATATAGATGGTATTCCAAAAGACTGTAACCTTATAAACCCTTCCATTTAAAATTTTATTCAAAAACATCCCTCTTCTAAAACTGATTTTTGTTTGATTTTTTTTTTAATTTGAAAACGGTCAAAGACTAGTAAATTTTTAATGAATCTGCATAATTACAGACCTAACCATAAAACCGAACCCGAATCCGAAATAAAACTTGATCCCGGTTAAAAATCCCCAAATTCTAAAAAAAACTTTTTTATCGACCTTTTCCCTTCTCCTCTTTGTTGACGGTGATTTCACAATATCCTCAGAGCCATCTTAGTCGCCATCGTCTCTGCTACCGTCACCGTCTTTTCCGTCGCCATCGTTTCCTTCCCAGTCATCTCCGTCTCTTTCCTAAGATTTCAGCACTTCCTGGTAAGCTCCAAACTCTTCATGTTCCGGTAAAAGGTTTTGAATTAAATTTAGATTTGTTTTGCGAGAAAGGGTTTACATTTCAC